TAAAACATAAAAATTGTGCTTGTTATTCATGTACCCCGCATGTTACGCATGGGATGAGCTAGAGGACTGCTAGTGGGGCACCTCTCGCCAGATTGTATTATATATGCACTGCAAAAATAAAGAATTTTAAAAAAAATATATATACATATATATATTTTTTTTCACCTTTAGTGTTTCTTTATTGTTTTAGATTCCTATACTGGGACAGTCTTCTCTCAGCAGCCGCTCCACTACCTCTGAAATCATCATCCTAGATAATCTCAGTCCAGAATCTTTGAAAACCTATAACATATGTGCAGCAATAGCTGTATCCCACCAATATGTTGCTTTTTGTAGAAAGATTTGCATCAATTACATACATGTTTGGAATCATCATGCAATGCGTGAAGACATAGAACGTAAAGACCTTTGATTTTTTTAATGTCTTAAGGAGAATCTTGTTATTATTATATTTATATAGCGCCAACAAATTCCATAGCGCTTTACAGTGGGTGGACGAACAAACATGTAGTTGTAACCAGACAAGTTGGACACACAGGAACAGAGGGGTTGAGGGCCCTGCTCAACGAGCTTACATGCTGGAGGGAGTGGGGTAAAATGACACAAAAAGGTGAGGGAAGTATTAGGGAAGTAGATTGGTAGAACAGTATTCAATGAACACTTAGTGTGTTTTTTTTTGGAACCATTAACAGTTTAATGGAAATCCTTTTATGAGAGAGTGAGTTTTTAATGATTTTTTCAAGGAGTGGGTGAGCATCTAACGGAAAATGGAAGGGAGTTCCACGGGGACGGTGCAGCCCTAGAGAAGTCTTGAATGCGAGCATCAGAGGTGGGAGTATGAACAGAGGATAGACGTAGGTCTTCGGCAGAGTGTAGGGGCCTAGACGGGACATACTTGTGTATTAGGGAGGATAGATAGGTGGGAGCAGCATTATGTAGACATTTGAAAGCAAGAACAAGAATTTTATATTGAGTCCTATATCTTACAGGAAGCCAAAGCAGGGACTGACAGAGTAGTGAGGTGTTGGAGGTGCGGGCGGACAGGAAGATGAGCCTCACCATTGAATTCATTATAGACTTCAAAGGGGCAAGTTAGAAACACGTAAGACCACTGAGACGCGGATTGCAGTAGTCAAGGCGAGACAGCGTCATGGACCAGCACCTTAGCCGCATCTGGCGTTAAGTAGGGGCGGATGCGTGCAATGTTTTTGAGATGGAAGCGGTAGGATTTGACTGGACATGAAGGGTGAAGGATAGGTGGAGTTGATGTTAGCACCACTAATATTGAGGGAGCCAGAAGTTAAAGTCAGTCTTACAGCATTTTCTCAGAAACAGCAATGTTTTACCTGGTTAAATGTAAATGAAGTGGTTTTGATTCCTAGATATCCCTTTAACGTCATGGCCACGAAGGTATGCAAATTATTATTTTCTACTAGAGATACACTAGAATTAAACAATTAACAATTTGTGGGAGGTAATAGGCACATCTTACTCAGTGGAAAAAGGATTTAGATCTCCTATCCACGTATGTGCATCTAGTCCTCAATCCTCCAGTATGAGGAACATTGGTTTGGACCAGCGTCGATTATCATAAAACCACCTTTTTTAACCATGTTTATAGCAAGGGACAGAGACAGAAGTATTGATTTTTTTTTTTTTTTTATTAAAATTGTCCTTTTGTGGAATCACTGACCCACACACTCACTCACACTCTCATTCACTCACACTCAATGACCCTCACACATACGTATTCACAATCAGTGATCCACACACTACCAATCAGGGCCTCATGCAGACCGTTACCACCACACAAACTGACTCAAGCAGACACACATACACTGACCCATGCAGACTGACACACGCACACACTGACTCAAGCAGACTGACATACATTCTGAAACACATTTAGTAACCATTACTCCTATTGTCTTCAGAGAAGCATGTATAGCTTAATGCTAAAATAACGAATAATTTAAATGCCGTTTGTAAAAAAAAAAAAAAGAAGAAAAAACCCTGTAGAATAAGGTGCTTTTATGGTGATTGTGCACATAGGAATGCATTGCTCCACCACAAGGAAAAAACAATAATGATAAAAAACTCCCTCCCCAATACAAGATTTGGCTGGAAATAAAGGGGACAATGATATAATTTTGCTCCAATTCATGGCTCCTTCAAAGCATGAAGGGAGTATGAGAATTTAGTTTGACAAGAATCCTGAAGAACATTTTTGTTCTGTTCCAGTATTGAAACCCTTGGGACTGAAGTGTGTGCCAACATCATAATAGACAAGACAGTACAAGAAGTCAGCCAAGACTAAATAAATTCAACAGAGGAAGAATTTACACTAAAGAACTTACATTTCCTGCAAGTCTAACATTAGATTTTAACACCTGCATGTACAAACTACCATCTCTTTGCGTCGCATTACATAGTAATCGTGAAGCCCGACTCAAGTCCATCAGGTTCACCCTTCACCATATTCTGCTTTTTGATGATGATCCAAAATAAGGAAACAAGACTGATTTCAAATAATTCCCAATTGTGCCAACAACAAAAAAACAAACAACTAAACGAACAAAGTCTTGTCTCCGTAACTGCAATCAGTTTATTCCTTGAATCACCCTCTTCATATTAACTATTCTATCCTTGTTTTTCCAATATGTTTTGGAGAATGGTAAAGCTTAATCATTCACAATCGAAGTAGATTTATCAATATATTGATCCAATGGATAGTTTGCGATTTCAACTACGAAAAGGACTTGATAAACCATAGATAACAATTTTAACAACTGGCTTTCAGTAGCTGCAGCTGCTAATAGCCTCTTAGGTTTTGCAGTCAATAAACAACTGATACTTGCTAACAATAGTGACCGGCACTTTATCAAATAGCGTTTGTTTTGGCAAAAAGTAGCAACAACATTGGAAAGAAGCCCTTGGTTGGCACTTTTATACTTTAGATCTGATCTTACTTAAAGGGACACTGCACTGGCCAAATCCCCCTTCCAAAAATATATATGAATCATGTTGAAAATATGCATGCATTGGGGGGCGGGGCCTAACCAGCATGGCCGACGGACGTGTTTGAGATCAGCTCCTCACACAAAACGAGACATACACAGTTTAAACGGAGGTATTACCCCTTAAATCGAAACGACCCGAGTTACAAGCCCCTCACGCACCCAGCAACCAACGTGTTCGACCCAAGCAGCCGCGGACGGCACGATGCACCCCCATATATGGGGCCCAAACTCTTCCACAGACGTTTTATCAGGCATCCTCCAAAGTGGCACAGCCCCGCGCACCACTTACCGACCCTTGCTGTCACGGAACTGTGGGCCCAATTTCGAGAACCCCGGACCGGAGGGTCCCTCACACAACGCTAGCAGAACTCTGGCAATTTTGCCCCAGCAGCCTCATACCATGGGGCATCGGCTAAACAGCCCACGGAGGCACCCGCAACACACAAAAGACACTTACGGTACCCATTGTATGTGATGCCCTCCTAGCATCCAGGGACAACCTCAGAAATAATTGCCACATTTTATTTTATGTTTGACATTTGTCATTTACTTTATGTTTGATATGTCTGTTTTCGACTATAATGCCATTATAACGGTGCCCTCAGCAAGACCTCAGCCGACACTCCCAACATTAAGCCCAACCTACCTTACGCCCTCTTAAAGGGATAGAACTGGTAACACAGGGACATAGACATACCACAAAAACACGAGCCCTCTCAATATATTTCTATAGTGCTACACTACTTCAAGCAGAGACCCTGTCAGTGCAACGCTATACCCACACCTAAGCTTAAATATCTGGAACTGTCATCCATTAAGAGCCTAACATATATTATACACATAGGTCTTCGACTCACACCACCGTCATGGACGACTAGAAAAGCTTGTACTTCACAAAATGTTCTGCATATAACTCAATCCTGAAATGTGAATCCTGTTATTTTTCCTGCCCACCATACTTACAAACCCTACAGGTCGACGCTCACATAAATGCAGGCCGCACAGTGGTTATTAATGCATGTCATTTAGGTGGACCCTCACCTTTCCTGCTGAGATAGTTACATGCACTGCATTAGACTAACGACGCCACTAGAAATTTAATCTTGACACACTCTCCAGCTATTCTATAGCAGCCTGTCCTCTCATTATCTAACATGACACACAGTAATCTACCTATCTATTTGACTGTTCCTCTCACGTTACGTTCTAACAAACTATAAAAATATGCAGACCCACAGTCACAATGTTTTCAATGTTATGGTATGTTCTAAACACATTTAAAAATTGTGCAGACCTTCAGCCACAATGTTTTCAATGTTATGTTATTCTCATGCGTGCTTATGCTGTTGTGGCAAGGCTTGCCTGTAACGTAATTTGTGCACAACAAAAATAAAGAATTTAAAAAAAAAAAAATACATAAAAATATGGATGCATTTAATTTTCATTTATTTTTTTTTACATTGGAGGTATACTTGAAAACAGCTTGCAAAACCTGCAGATCTCTTTTTTGAAGTCTTTGCAAACCCTCCCCTTCTGGCCCCACCCTAACTTTTCATGGCTGTCCAATCACAGACTTCACAATGCAGTTCAATAAGAAGTCTTTGCAAGTCAGGTACTCTGGGCAATTGCTCCAAGGAGCTGAAAACCAATAAAGAATAATTATTTTAACTAATTCTAACATACATAGACACAACAGTTGTAACTAAATCAGATATTTATGGTAGCAACTGTTGCACCAAAAATTAAACAACAAATGCACGGGGATGGCTGTTAGAACTAATCCAGACATGGAAACATACATGAATGAGACTGTTATAATTAATTCAGACATTGAGACACGCATGGGGCAATTCTTATAATTCAGACATTAAAACAATCATACATCAATTGTTGTAACTAGTGATGTCCCGAACGGTTCGCCGAACGGTTCGCCACGGACGGCGAACATATGCGGTAAACTTTGACCCTGTACCTCACAGTCAGCAGACACATTCCAGCCAATCAGCAGCAGTCCCTCCCTCCCAGACCCTCCCACCTCCTGGACAGCTCACTAAGAATGCAGCTTCACAATTAATGTAAAATGGATGCTGTCCAGGAGGTGGGAGGGTCTGGGAGGGAGGGACTGCTGCTGATTGGCTGGAATGTGTCTGCTGACTGTGAGGTACAGGGTCAAAGTTTACCGCATATGTTCGCCGTCCGCGACGAACCGTTCGGGACATCACTAGTTGTAACTAATTCACACACTGAGACAGGCATGAACCGATTGTTCCAGCTAGTTAGACATTGAGACATGCATGTGGGCAACTGGTTTACCAGATTCAAACACCGAGACATTCGCAAGGCAACTGTTGAAACTTATTCAGATATTAAAACATGTTTAAAAAATAAAAAAATAAAAAAGTAGTTGTTTTTTTGTTTAGCTGGTGTCTATTCAACAGCACACCCCAAACGTAGTACCTGCTAATTAAAAGTTTGTAACCTCTTAGCCATGTTTTTAGTAGAAACCAGTAATGAAAGTAAAGAAAAAAATAAATAAAAATAAATCCTAGTTGTGTAGAGTGCAAATAAACTGGATTGCAAAATGTACTAAGAATGCTTGTAGCAATGTTTTAAGATCTTTTCACTTAAGCATGGCTCAGCGCCTCGAACAGGGCATGCCAAAATCAAACGGCAACCTTGAAGAATCAAACCTGTGATGTGATGAAAAAGGAATCTCACCACCCTTTTTGTTCATTTTAATGAGTTATAGGATCATATATTATTTTTAGATGTTCACCTGCTGGATTGGAGTTGCCAGTGTACACACATGGAGCTGATTTTTCCTATCAGGAATTATTCTGGATTGAACTGCTTTTCATGTAAAATTCAACACATCAAATATTTGAAAAAATAATATTTAAGAGTAGTAACTGGCCAGAAAAAGAAAATGTTTCATGGTTTTAACTGCCCACAGCTCTCTCGGGTATATGCCACCATGATCGAAATTGAATTTAGTAGTTTAATCAGACTTCCAGAGTTTCCGAGAGTCTTGAAAGGGCAGTGGTTTAAGATGGATTGATGTCAGCTGCTGGTACACATTTAAAGAGAATCCATCATCAGATATTGATATAATCAAATGTATATTTTAACACAGGCTTAAGTGTTACAGTGCAACTTTCTTACAAGATTTTATTTACATAACAGTCGTTTTTTAACTGCTGCCTTCTTGGAGTAGCCTTCACTTTTTTAACATTTCTGAAGTCACATCCCCAGACTACCACAATAGATCTGTTTAGAAGTCATCCATCACTTTAGTTTTGTGTTCTCTCCCAAAGGAGGAATGGTCTAATACATACAGAATATTGCTATTAAAGGGATACTATATCCCTCGGCGCTTGGTCAGGCTCCGCCCACGTTCCTCCCCTGCCGACATCAGCCGACCAGGGAGACCTAATGCGCATGTGCAGCAATGGCCGTGCTCGCATTAGGATTTCCCCATAGGAAAGCATTTTTCAGGAAGTCCTCATGCATAGTGTAAGGACATCCAGCGTCAATTAGATTACCAAAAGTCGTCTAAGCACACGGAAGTCCCTCTAGTGGGTGTGGTAGACAGCAGCTAGAGGTGGAGTTAACCCTGAGAGGTAATTATTGCAGTTTCGTAGAAACTGCAACAATTGCTACTGTAGGGTAAAGGGACATGGACTGATGTGGTCTGGGTGCCTATAGTGTACCTTTAAGAGGGCACTGTCACTTTTCTGGATATTACATTATTGAATAAAAATATTGAAAATCACCCATAAACAGCCAAGATGGAGGCAATAAGTTCCCCAACAGAGTTAAATATGGACTTTTGGATTTTGAATATTTAATTGTACTAAAACACACATATATGGAATAAGTAAACATACTAGTAATAATCTTGGGAAGTGACAATTCCCCTTTAATGTGACAGCAGAGACTCCGATGGAATGGGATCCATGTAACATTAATCTAGCACAAATTGTAGGTGCCAATGTGCGTGTTAACAAACAGAATGGAAAGAAGCCTGAGAATTTTACCAGTATAATAGTTTTCGAGAACGCAGGCTATAATGTCCCATTAAAAATGTCTTGAAATTGACCCATCACAAGGGTTGACGTTATCCTGTTGACATTAAGTGATTAAGTGAATATGCCTGTCACGCCAGAACTTAACCACTCCTGGCTCCTGTGCTGTTTGCCAACAAAGGAGATAGGACATTCAAGAGCCAAGGTTCTGACCTGGAAATGCCATAAAAATGACCTCCTGGGATTTCCATCCCCCCTCCGAATCGATCATTCTCTCTGGGTGGTACACTTCCCTAAAATGAGCAGGCAGGGTGTATGACGGGATCCCAGTACCTGCAGACGGCTGGAATTCTATTCTGCACCCGGCGATTCTTGGCAATGTCCCAATCACATCTCCAACCATGTGATATTCTACCTCTACAGATGCCTTTGTGCTATGCTGGATGGATACTGTTCCATGATCTTCCTGGATTCAGGTTCCCCGGGAACAATCGTCTTGATTTAATAAACTTTCCAAGTATTTAATACTATAAGAAAAACTTGCCAAATGATTAATCTACAAAACTTACAAAAGACTTCAATGGTGACTTTGGTAGATAAATCATTTGCAAAATCTTTCTAACAGTATTGAGTCATTTAGAAAACTTGTTAAGTTGAGGTATAAATTGGGACAGTGGGCCAGGGTCTTGAAATAGATACTGTTAAGTTGGGAGGCCTCATACAATGACAGGTATACTGTAATTTATAATATTTAAAGTACATCAGTGGGATGTAGGATTTTTCTCTTCTGCAGTTATGACCTTATGTATACTAATTATCAGTATCCGAGGGATGAAAACCTGAGCTGACCTAAAGTTTGAGCAGATTTATAATTACCAAACTAAACCATATAGAGTAGATTATAAGCCAGCATAGCATGATAGACATGTCTAATGAAACACATAAAAGTGAAATAAATAATCTCTTAATATATGAGAATTCTTGATCAACCTTGACAGTTCTTGGCTTTTCATTGTTTTTTCTTACATCCTTTAACGCAAGCTTAAGAATTTGGGGGATAGAGTAAGAGAACATATACAATCTAAACACCAAATCCTTGTGCGTCTTTTGAAATTACTATACCATGTGACATTGGGAATAATGTAAGCAGTTTTAAAGTGACAATTTGTGTAACTGTGGGGTTTCATTTGACCAACATGCAAATACAAGAAATCCTCTCAAAATGGGTTAAAAACCTTTTTTTGTTACATAGTTACATAGTTACATAGCTGAAAAGAGACTTGCTTCCATCAAATTCCGCCTTCCTCACATATGTTAACCTTTCTTCATAGCTGATATGTTCCATTCCTTTTATTAATTTTGTAGCCTCCCTCTGCACTTTTTCTAGTGCCATAATATCCTTCTTTAGAACAGGTGCCCAAAATTGCACAGCATATTCAATGTGTGGTCTTACCAGTGATTTATAAAGAGGCAAAATGATATTCTCATCCCGAGAATGAATGCCCTTTTAATACATGACAATACCTTACTGGCCTTGGCCACTGCTGATTGACATTGCACATTGTTGCATAGTTTGTTGTCTATAACAATTCCCAAGTCTTTTTCGTGTGTTGTTATCCCTAATTCACTTCCATTAAAGGTATACGTTGTTTGTGTATTCTTTACGCCGAAGTGCATAACTTTGCATTTTTCAACATTAAATTTCATCTGCCATTTGAGTGCCCAGTCCCCCAGTCTAGCTAAATCCCTCTGCAGCAAAGTAATATCTTGCTCACATTGTATTAATTTTACAGAGTTTTGTGTCGTCTGCAAACAATGAAACATGATTTTCAGTGCTGTCTTCAAGATCATTTATAAACATGTTAAATAGAAGGGGTCCCAGAACAGACCCCTGAGGGACACCACTTGCCACCTCTGTCCAGCTTGAAAATTTACCATTAATGACAACTCTTTGTACTCTGTTTTTAAGCCAATGTTCTACCCAAGAACAAGCATTTTCATCTAGACCAATTTCCTTGAGTTTTAACACTAATCTATTGTGTGGAACTGTATCAAATGCCTTGGCAAAATCCAAATAGATCACATCCACTGCAACACCCTGATCTATACTTCTACTTACTTCTTCGTAGAACGCAATCAAGTTAGTTTGACATGACCTGTGCTTCATAAAACCGTGCTGATTTTTGCTGATAATCATGTTCTTCTCAAGGAATTCTTGAATATTATCCCTTACTAACCTTTCAAATATTTTCCCAGCCACAGAAGTTAAGCTCACAGGTCTATAATTTCCAGGCAACGATTTCGAACCCTTTTTGAATATAGGAACCACATCTGCCTCCAATCCTCTGGAACACTTCCTGAAAGAAAAGAATCTTGAAAGATTAAAAGTAGAGGTACACTTATTTCTACACTTAGTTCCTTAAGTACTCGTGGATGGATACCGTCAGGCCTTGGAGCTTTGTTTATATTAACTTTCTTTAATTGCTGCAGCACCTTGTCTTGAGTTAACCAATTAAAATTATTCTGCAAGTTTTTAGTAGCAATCATTTGCACATCTATTGCCATGGGTTCTTCCTTAATATATACGGAGGAGAAATTGTTATTTAAAATTCCTGCCTTTTCCTGGTCTTCATTAACTAACACCCCCATTTCAGTTTTTAGTGTACCTACACTTTCATTTTTGGGTTTTTTAGAATTTATGTACTTAAAAAATGCTTTGGGGTTGGTTTTGCTCTCTTTAGCTATCATTTTTTCATTTTGAAGTTTGTGCAATCCATCACTACTATAAAGGTTGTACCCAAGCGCAAAGTTGGCCCAGTGCTCTAAAAACCCCAAACCCACCTTCCTGCACCAAGACTTAAGCCACGCATTGACCTCTCTAATCTCTCACTGCCTTTCCACTGTAGCGGGTGGCACAGGTAATATCTCAGAGAATACCACATTGGAGGTCCTTTTCTTAAGTTTGCTACCTAATTCCCTGAAATCATTCTTTAGGACCTTCTATCTTCCTCTTACTTTGTCATTGGTACCAACATGGACCATGACCGCTGGGTCATCGCCAGCCCCTCCCAATAATCCATGCACTCTGTCAGCAACATGCTGGACCCGAGCACCCGGGAGACAGCAAA